GCATTCCTCTATCTGGCCGAACGGAGAAAACATCACCCTGATATCGTTCTCATTACACTTCTTCGAAACCATTCCTATGAACAATTTTCTGTCTTCCACCGCTAGAAGATAAAAATAATGAATGAGCAAAGGCCATTTCATCTTTTCGCCTGTGATCAATGCTTCATTACCACATCAAACCGGGCTCCAGTCATGTGAGGCGGCCTCTGTGACTGCAGACAAGTCCTCAGGCAAACACTTCGGGCTTACAACCTCCCTTCCCCCCGCCCCCAAATCTCCCATTTTTCTTTATCTCGCTCCCTTTCTTCAGTGGTGGTTGCCGCTTATATCACGTATTAATGGGCTGCCTTAGCCACGCGGCGTGTGCCTCCCCACGGCAGCTTCTAAGCGCAAGCCATCCTCCGTTAGCGAGCAAGGACGCCCTTGCACAGATTTCCAGGCACATAAATTCCTTCAGGTACGAAGGAAATTGTGACGGGGCGAGGGGGAAGCGGGGATCGCGCACGCCACGCTACGAGCGAATGAAAAATATTCCCGAGAAACGTTTTGCGAGAGAGGCTCCTATCCCTGCTTTCAGTTTCGACCAACTTAACGCACGGCGCTCGAAAAGGCAGAGCGACTGCTCCAGGAAAAGGCTGCGTTAGATCTTCCTGCTGTCCTCCTACCGCCGCCGCCCTGTCTCCTGTGAGAGGACACGCGGCACGTGGCAGGGCAGCGCCGAAACCGAGGGGGCTGCAGAACGCTCTCCGCCAGCCCCCGCCTTTGCTGCGTAGCGATGCGGAGTTTGCAAGAAGCACGGAAAAGCCGCTTGCACCTGAATTCCTGGTGGAATACTTCCTGCCTGTGCTGTCACCAACGCCAGGCAAAGCTGGGCTGCTGTAGCAGCATGCACACAGTCCTTCTCTTAATCAAAGTTACGAGTCCCAAACTGTGGACTCTTTGTCAAGAAAGAAATAGCTCATCAAAACCTAACTCAGCCGGGAAGGACTTAAAAAAAACCCGTTAACTCGCCATCCCATCTATATTGAACTGAAAACCTAAGCGCTTATTATACAGTATGTACACTAGTGCTTTCTTCTTCTCTTGAAATGGCATGTAAATCCAATTCACTGTTAATGAGCAGGCTGTCAGAGCTGGTGGGGAAGCAAAGAGAGAAGGAAAGCTTTACTCTAGAGAGTCTGCAGTATGCTTATTTATTTCTATTATTGTGCAAATTATTTTTGTAATGAAGTATTTTCATTTTGGGGCTAACAAAAAATAATAATGACTCTTCCCTTGCTCCCCAGCCCACTCTCCTTGTATTAGCACCGAGTTTGTCAAATGGAATAAATTGCAGCTGAGAAGGAAGAAACTGCATTTATTTTCGTAGGATTTTATTTGTGTTACACTTCAGCACTTTAACGACATTTAATAATTTCAACAATAAAGAAGAAGAGGTTCATGTTTATTGATCACAAGAGAGGTGCTGGAAGTAATTTTTCCTCCGAATTGCTGAGTTAAAAAAGTATTTGTAGCTTTTATACAAGTGAGTGCCAAGACCATGCGTTTTTCAGACTCCAAAACACAGACCAGCCCCTGGAATCTCAGCTTCTCACTCTACAAGCTTGCAAGAAAACTGGTGTGAATTTAACACCCAGCAGAAGCAGCAGCTTTTCTTGGCAGACATTCCCCAAGTCTCAACATTTGCATTCCCACTTTATACTGAGGTCCCACATACAGGTTAACCCTTCAGAAAGGGTTAACCAATGATGAAAACATGGGCTAAGCCAATTATGTACAGACGGGTCTATAAGACCTCCCAGTTGGGCTAAATATATATACATATTTTAAACATATTTTCATGAAATGTTACACCTCATTTGTAATATTTAATTGGCCCTGGCATTTCTAATAATTATTTTATGGGCGGTGACCTAGGTCGTGGTGCCCACAGGCACAGGCAGAACCAGCAGCGGGGCCTCTGGGCAAGGCGGAGGGGGAAGGCCACGCTTGCTCGCGGCGCTCGTGTTTGCAGGCGAGACGATGCCTGCCACTTGGCTGCTTAAAATGCCTGTACTGCCTTGAGTAATAATCCCTTCAAGGAAGGTCCCTGGCCAGCCTGTCCACTCAGCACGGGCCACATGCTATGGTCCTGGAGAAAGACACTAAGCAAAGGAAGTCAGGTGGAAATTCAAAAGAAACAAGAGACTTGGCACTGATGCAAGGATCCTCATCCGCCAAGCAAGCAGAAGCAGAGCGTCGACGGCCCCCAGCATGTCTCTGCCCTCCCTCAAAGACGAACGTGAAGGCTTTGCTTTAATTTCCCGAAGAAGAGTAGACGACTAACTCCCCACCGGCCTCCTTCAGTTTTGCTAGCAAACCTATAAACACGCCATTTAACTAACATGATTTGCAGGTTTTCAGCTTCGGGGTGATTTTATAGTAAATTAAACATCCAGCTCCCGTGTACTGTACATCATAGAAATGCAGATTTCACAAAGGATGCTCTGAGTACAGAAAACATATTGATATGGTGACGTGCTCGGCATTCAGCGCCATTTGTCAGCGCTGATCATTGCTGAAGCTTAAGAAAATTGCTATTCTATTTTGGCTAGAGGCCCAGCATAAAAAATATTTAAAGGGACAATAGTCAGGATCAAAATGACATGTTTTCACTCTGTCTGACATAACATCTGATATTATTAGGCTGAAATAATTTTCAACTATATATTTTTGTGCAGAGAAAGGAATGCATTTTTACCTGTGTGAGACTGGTTATCTAAATTTGCTTCTGCATTTTTGGTCACCCACTTCTGCCCTTTCTTTCCAAAAAGGATTCTTATGTGCCTTGCAGGAATGGTGTGAGAATTAAATAGATAACAGACTGCAAGAAGTACGGGTCAAATTTATTTAGAGGTTAATGTACTTCCCCTTTGCATATTGCAAATGTAGGTCAACTCTGCTGCCCAGGCACAGTTTGGTGTGACACAGCCAGGACTAAACCTACTGGATTTGGGGTGAAAATATTTTGCCTGAAGGCAGGTGTTCACGGTGCGAGAACCTTGTGTAACTAATTGCAGATATCTATTTTACAATGCGATGAACTGTTCTCGCAATTTCATCAGGCAGACTGACAGCTCTCCCCTGCCTAGCGAGGACGTCTAGGCATCTGGCTTGAAGAGACATAAGTACACTTTAGCCACCTAAAGGTGGGTGAGATGAACTCAACCTCTGCTTTAGGTCTCCTTTCACACTGGAGTCTCTTACCTTCTGACAGCGCTGTACCCAACTTGCAAACTACAGTCCTGAGGGTCTTATTTTTTAGCTTTGCATCAGTAATGAGCATTTCTCATAAGCACACCCCCCAGTTTCTCAGTTTACTAGGTCAGTTGTGCTAATCCATGAGAATAAGGGAGTAGCAATTACTATCAGTATGCGACAGAAGAGCTGAACCTTACAATAATCATGGGAATCCTCCTTAAGATTTGACAAACTTCACTTTTCTCTCATTCTAAACCCTCAAAATTCTGCCCTGAAAAAAAGCACAGGAATATTCCTTTATTATATATTTTGACAGCTCCAGTCAGTTAAAGAGCACATTTCCCCTCTAGAAGTTGCCTTCTCTTTTGAGCCAATCAAGAAATGGTTAATTATGTATAAATGGTTATTTATTCATTTTTTCATCCAGGAAGGAAGGGGGGAAAACAGACTTTTCATCCCTATCTGCAAGCCTGTGAAAAACCCTCGCATACAATCCGTCAAAGTCACACCTGGATCCAGAGCTGCCTGCATTAATTATCAACTTTTCTATGTGTTAGTGCTAACATATGGCATTTAATTACTCCCTCCAAATCAGCAAAGTCGTGCCACTTAGAATTTCAAAATTATTTCTTCAAGTTTTCACTGATAAAATAAATAAAAATAAATGATAAGACCACATAGCTCTCCCCCATCCCCCCCCACCCCCTTTTTAATGGAGAATTTCATCATTTTCCCTAAAGCGTTGGTGCTTTGATCCATTTAAGAGTGTACTGTCCTCAGGATATGTGCCTGAAAGTATTGACAGTATTCAAATCCTGATCCAGAAAAATTTAAGTATTTACTGAACTGCAGCATGCGGCTGCTGACTACCTAAAGTCAAGCATGCATTTACATTGTTTTCTGTATTAGAGTGCAGGTACTCATATTTTTTGAAAAAGGATAAATATTCTCAAACAGCCAAATACTTCAAGTGGTTAACACTGGAGAGCAAACTAGCAATGGTGGAGTCTTCACAGCCTTCACGCCATGCTTTTCTGGCAGGTATTCCTTAACTGAAACTTTGTAAATTGGTTAAACTAGCTGACTAGCAATATAAAGGTGGTCAGGACTATATTTAACGGGTGATCAGAACAGGACGTACTATAAACCTCATCATCTGAAACTCTTTCAAGGATGCTACATTTGTCTACATTAAAAGCCTTTTAAGAATCCTCCAGGGTAGACAAATAGACAAAATTAGACCTAAAGGCAAATCTTTCTCCATCAACTCTAGCGGCTAAAAGCTCAGTGGAAGAGATTAAACTTTGGTTCATCTGTGCGAAAGGAGAGATGACTCAGAGACATGAGCTATTGTTCTCCATTTCCTCTCCCGTGGAGAGAAAAGGCATGGAGATGATTGCCTAGACCTATCAGTCAACCAGTTCCTAACCAGAAGAAAACAGGTCTTCATGTTGCTAGTAAAGTCCAAATACTGCGGAAGCGCCAGGGCACTTCATCAAGCATGTGCAGGAAGTGTCTTTCCACATCCTTCTCCCAATTTCCATGAGGCAAGTCTGGTCTTTTGCGCTAAGGGACAGGCTTAGAAGAGACTTATAAATCTAAAGACAAGAACAATGATGGGGAAGGAGAAGCATTTCATGGTAGCGCTCCTGAGCTCGGGTGCTGATTCAAATCCTCTTGCAAGAGACTTAATATGGGGAGAGGCGAATCTTCTCCGGTTGTATTTTGGTACCACAATTGGGAAATTGGTAGCAAGTGAAGTGTTTTAGGAAGAGAGTCACAAAATTATAAACCCTTCACACATATTTGGATCTGAATTCTAGAAATGGGCAAACAACTGTAAAACTGGTTCGCCCAACTTGGTAGGATTTTCGGTATTGTCATACAGCAAACACCGTTCTTTGAAAAATCTCTGTAAGATGAATACGGAGAACTCTCCTGAAGGGAACCTGAAGAGGTCTCTCAAGCTTTGCACAGACGTGTGAAAGCTCAGAAGAATGGCAATGAATGCCCACTCTCTCTCACATTACTTTCCACAAGTTGCTTGGAAATTTTGACTGAGAGAATTTCTTTATCCTCTTTGAAACTTTAGAAACACTACTTCACCTGTAAAATGTAGGGGTCTCTTCCAATTACTCAGAAATCAAAGGGTTTCAAGCATTCCCCAAAAGCTCGAACACCATGGATCGTGAAAACCAAGACGCCCTGACATGCCTTCTTTCTCTTCCCCTTGCAGCTTATCAATCTTGCTGAAGGGGTATGCTTTCTTCCTGCCATTTGCTATTGGCACAGATAACACACCCCCTCAGATGGATAGCCTGCAGCATATAGGAAACATGTGCCAAGCACTCCCCCGGGCTGCTGTTCCTTCTTTTTTGGTTCGCCAAGCTGCTTGCAAACTATCACCTCCCACATGGAGGTGCTTCCTACACCCTGTCACCCACAGCATGTCTACAAGAAGAGCATGCACTTGCCAGGAGACTGAAGCAGGTGTCTAATGCGACAATTGCAACCTTTGATCTTTCAACCCCCAAAATACAAAGAAAGTCAACCCCTCCCTTGCAAAACCCAATCCCTGTGATTCTCACTCCGAGGTCAGGGGTAAGAGGATACTCAGAAGATTAAGAGTATCCCCACGGTGCAGACAGCACTACCATGTAGCTACGCCCAATCTAAGAGCAGTGAGGAGCTCATCTACCCTGCTTTCTAAGCACGTTCTACTTGCAGAGCAGGAACAGGAGTTGGACAACTCCCCATAGTGCTTTGGCAATACGTTCAATCTTCTTTAGGAAGAAAAACTTCAGGCAATGAACAAGTAATTCATTCAGAGTCTATTTTGCTCCGTTGTCTGTAATGCTTCTAATTTGCCAGGAACTTAAGGTGAATTTTTTTCCTTAGAAGAAGGATCCATACAGGCTAGAATTAGCTCAGAGGGTCCTGGCTGGTGTTCCTGTACCTAAGGGAAAACTTTGCCCATTGCAAGCACAGTAAAAATGAGGGGGTGAAATTTTGATTCAAATAGCGAAGCTCTCACTCACCACGGTGGGGTATGACAAGTCTGACAAGTTCTGACCTCCTGCTCACGCAGATGCCTTGGCCTCTTTTCTGAGCATTCAAAGAAAGGCAACAAACCGCTGCTAAAACTCTGCTCTTGGATAATGCGAAAGACAGAGCACAATGCTCCCTTCCAAATGGGTGACGGCTCAAATCTGCCATGCTCGTGTCCAGTTTTGTTTTCAAAGCTGTCCTAATAGGAAACCTAGCACAATGCAAAGTTTTACTTTCTTCCTACACTTCATAATCCTTGGAGAAGCCTGAAAATGGGATGCACTACAATTAGCAAAAAAGAAGCCTTAAAAAAGCCTTGCGGAGAGATTTAGAGCCCAATCATAATTTACATTTGCAGGTAAGTAGATCTCTAAGTGCACGGCTTCTGCCCTGATTACTAATTAATGAGGTGCAAAGATGCCTGTTGGAGGAACCAGCTCTGATTATGTGGGCCTTATGGGAAAAAGAAGCTCTTGCAATCTAAGAAGGGAGATGATATCTTTAACATACATTTTAGAAAATTACAGGAACAAATCAAGAGGAAAAATATACACATGTATATATTTTTAAAGAATCACACACAGCCAGGCTGCGTTACCATCCGATTATCTTATTTCCTTGAATATACAAACCTGGCATGTTTAATAGACTTAACGTGCTGTCTATTTTGCATGTCATATACATTCACTTAGGCAGTAACCTAGTATTCTGAATGGATATTACTGTCATTATAGCATTCATTTTAGAATGGTTGAGAGGAATAAATATACCGCGAGATGCAAGGTGGGTTTCCCAGTTCAGAATTAAGCATATGATTAAAGTCTAAATTTGGCTGAGATTCAGAATGCCATCATTCTATAGAAAAGGAAGTTTAGGCAAATGTTTAAGGACCCATCAGGTGCTTACACAGTTTGTTAACACAGGAATGCTTGCTTTTCTTTTCTTTTTTTTTCGTCTCACCATTAAAATTTCATCTCTATCTTATCAATATCAGGTGCTCCTGGGTCACCTAACTGCCAGCAGAAGACGTGGAAGACACATGTAACAAGGTAGGCCATGACATACAGCAGGCACGAGGCAAGAATGGCTTTCAGAACATTTCCTTCCTTCTTTAAAGATGAAGATAAATTGGAGTTCAGAGCAGGTCAACATCTCTCCAGACCTGTCAGCTGTAGAGAAACCTCCTCATATAGTTTTCACCACACAAGGAGTAAAGCATAAACTCTCACAATGATTTGCATGTTTTTGTAAAAAGAGAGTCACAAGTAAATAAAAATAAGTTAAACACATACCATTGGACTTTTCGCTATCTGCAGGTTTCATCTGAATAGGATGATGCATCTAAAAATAAAAATGAGAAACAGTGAGGCAGGTTGGATAGTCATGAAAAGCAAGAATCATGTTTCTAATGAGGGGCTAAAAGGATACACGATCAGTATTAAACATGCTCAAATGATATAAATTCAAAATAGCACTATATTATAGGCTTTTAAGAAAAAATAAAATGGTAAAGAAGCATTTTACAACCAGGAAGATTAAAAAAAATAGATCACTGGGCCCACAGGACTCATATAAAACTTTAATTTGCTGTATCTAGTTTCAGAAGACCACTAAAGTTACAGCCCTCATTATTTTATGGCATGCTTGCTTTCTGTTTTACCAACTTTTTTCTTGAGTTCAACGGCTGCCAAAACCAAGATGGAATTTTCAAGTAATTTAAGACCTAGCAAGCATTTGAAACACACTCAGAGGAGTTTAGTTTGACAAATGAACTTTGCTTGTAATTAAAAAACCATGTGCTGATTCTTTCAGTACTGGAGAGGAAGAGACTTGTGCTTCCTATAACTGCTTAGTACCTCGCCGTCATTGTAGAAAACCTTATACATTCGCTCATAAAGCTTCCACCACAACACAAACAGCTCTGTTTTCCATAAAAACTCCTAATACCTTTTCTTTTTCAACCTGTTCCTCCCTCATGCCCCCTCTTACTGCAAGAGAAACCTGTACTGTCCGGTGCTGTACATCACACGGCATCCTTCCTTCACACACTTGATATGATGTGCCCTTGCCTTTCGCTACCACAGGTTATTCCCACTCCTTTTATTATTTACTGCTCCAACTCAACCTTCACCAAAAGAGTTTTCTGTTGTTTCAGGAGCAGCAACACCACAACAGTTAATAAACTCTCTGATCAGAGTGCATGGCACTTCCACTGGACTTCCCTCCTTTGATTATAGCCAGGTGTACATCCACTGCCATGGATTCAGGGGAAACTTGTTATAGCTTCTCAAAAGCCTTCAGAAGTCATGTCCATGCTTTCAAAAAATGCTCCGCCTTATTTTCTTCAGTAGAGCTCTGCAGAAATGCAGGAATTTGTCTGCACAAATCTAATTATTGCAGCAGTGGGGCCACCAACTTTTCCTTTTTCATCAAACCCTCCCCAGTTCACATAGGCAAGTGGGAAAGTCTCCGCTCTTACTGCTTTTGCATTGTCTTCCAGTGCACCAAAGCTGAGTATTGCCTAAAATTGTCAGAATCAATTCCATTTTTTATAAAGGACTATTATGCCAAACAGCTTTGGAAAACAAAATCAGCTGAGCAGGAGATAACACCCACATGCGCATATCAAACGTGCTTCCAGAGCCACAAACAATCACATTTGCATTGGTTTTGGTGGAGTCGCATAACCTCCAGGGACATATTTGCTAGATTCTTTAGCCAATATAAAATATTGCTGTGAATCTTCCCAAAAGATTTACTCAAAATTCAGAGTGCTCCCCGGCCCTACAAATCAATGCATTCCTTGTACTGCCTCAAAACTCCCCACTGTGCTCTAAGGAAAAGGCAGAGCCACAAAGGTGGATGTAGTCACCAGGATGCATAAATTTGCTTCAGTTTTAACAATTCAGTTCTCTTTGAATCATTTGTTTCCCAAATGGACTTTAATAGCCCTGCACTTTTCTGCCACCACTCTTATTCGATCTAATTTATAGCAAAAAGGGAACTTATATTGTACTCCATCTTCTTTAACTAGTCCTTAACATTTATCTGGCATCAACAATACACTGGGCACTGCAGGAGACTTTAAATTCATGGGAATGTCATGCAGCATGTCCAGCCAGCGAGCAAAAAAGTGAAAGAGGAAAAAAGGTGCAGCCTGCTCCAATAAGCACGCTGCAGGCACTGGCGGCTCTCTGGAGCGCCTGAAAGGTGCGCTCCAAAGGTGTTGTCTAGATGCCTGCAAGCGGGTGCAGCTAAGAGCAGCGGCTAAAGAAAATCTGAGGCAGACATGAGGAGACACGTCTCCCGATAGTAGAGGTCCAGAAGGATGTACGATAATTTCCTAGGACCACTGGAAACATCGCTTCTCAGTCCATGGCAAATTTGGGAACAGGCATCTGTAGAAAGATCAGACCAAATCCAGACCTGATGTAGACTTCTCTTCTTGCTAGCAAGCATAAATTGGGAGCAATTCCACTGCATTTAACAGAATTACATTGGTGCAAAACTAATGAAAGATTCAGATCAGGCCTGGAGAGTTTAAATCACAGCATACCCATGGCAAAATGGATGCAATACACAAACATGGCTTGGGCAAAGCGGCGGAAAAAATACGTTACTGTCAGTTCCCTAACATGAGAGGGCTCATGTTGAAGCTTGTTTAACCCTGACCATCACCAATTGATACGTTAACAACCTTTAACACTGGATTCAATAAAACATGCCATATATAACCTGAAATGGGTTTTACAAAGTCACTGGTTCGCATCTCATTATTAAACTCATTGCTGACCTCTAGAGACAACTGCCGTGACAATACATATTATAAGCTCTCTACCCATAAAATATTTAAGAGTAGGTGTAAAAAAAAAAATAGGATGAATCGCGAAGAAGAGCGCAGCGAATAAGAAAATTAAAGGGGCAGACACAAAGGCAAAGTAGTTACTATCCTTTCCCTTTACAACGAGCAAAACGCAAAATAATCTGTGCGTTTTATATCTTGCTTGTATAACTGTAGGCTATAAAATAATAAAAGATCTGTGCTTTCCCAGGCCCTCCAAAAGATTATAGATGATATAAACCTGTTTCAAATTAGATGCCACCCACTAGAATCATGTCATCTACTGAAATGAAGGATTTTGTGTCTTATCAGAAAGCTGTTATTGTGGCTATACATCACAACGCCGCACACTTACGGATCTCAAGGTAAGTGATTTCTCAGGATGTCACGTTGTCATCCAGAAAAAAAAAAAGAAAAAAAGAAAAAAAAACCCGCAGGAAACGTTTTCGTCCGCGGCTTGAAGAAAGCTTTGCTTCTAAAAACACAGCATTTACGGACGCGCTTTTGCAATTAACAAGTAGGGAGGAGGAAGGGAAGTAACGGCAGTAAATAACTTCTACGTGGCGACACTACGCTGAGCGTGGACCCGCGAGCGAAACGGTGAGGGCAGCAGCAGGCCCAGGCCCAGGCCTACACTCATCACTGACCAGCTAAATTTTTTTCCCTCTCTCTGTATGCACATATAACTTCATCAGAGAGAGAGAGAGAGAGAGAGAAAAAAAAACAACCCACCAACGGAGCAGCCCAAGATCCTCTCCAAGCCACAGACCCTCTCCAGCCTTCCAGCCGCCGAGCCCCGCCGCCCCACCATGACCTCGCCGCCCATCCACCTTCTCGTCAAAACCAGGCGAGGCCGAGCGGGCCGAGAGCCGGCGCC